TTTATACCTCCCCACACTCCTTACCTTTTGCTATTTTATCTTTTTCTTTTCCATGTCTGATATTCCCTGTTCCATTTTTTTCTTTTCTTCTCCCTCACTATTACACAGTCCCATTCAAATGCTCTTCAACACTTGGTTTTGTGACTTCTCCCAGTCTCCTTTGTCCTTGTACTGTGGTATCTTCTTTTTCCTGGGCTTAACTGTATGTCACTCAGTATTACAGTGTTGCTTCCTGTTGTGAGTCAGTTTCAGGCTGGGACTCCAGAATCCTTTCCATTAAGTTTAGTTTCTCAAGGATTTTAAGATCTTTTTTCTCTTTTATAATGAACTGTTGTTCTTGATGTGTGAAAGTTACAAAGGTAAACCCTATCTCTATTTCACATACCTACTAGGACTCTCATTAAAGGTACAGTTTCAGTAAGAAAGAAACTGCTGTGAATATACTAATAATAGTAAATGGTTTCATGGCAGTGTTATATTCATTACAGATCGCTAAAGTCATCATTCCTGCTCAAATACAGCAAGTCAGGACTGGTGTACTGTGGCTAGATGTCACTGGGCTGACTGTGCATAGCACCACAGTGGATCTGTCTATGTTACAAGTAAGAGGTGTTACTGCAGCATGGCAAGTCACATCTGCACTAGTTTTAATCTCTGTAACAGCATCAGTGAAGACATAGCAGCACAGATGAGTGACATATATGCAGCAAACTTGTACACCCTACAATATAGTCTACCCATAACACCCTTGCTGCCATTGGTATTCAAGCTAGCTACATTAAAGGTAGTGTGGGTATTAGGGGTGTGTGAAACGGGCCATATTCGATTTGGATTCAGATTCAGCCCAAATCAGGGACAGTGATTTGATTGATTGATTTGGATCACTGTCCCTGATTTGATTTGGCCCAATTCGAATCTGAAGATTTGATGCTGATTTGGAGAATCAGCGATTCAGCCATAGAAACAGCTTTAAATGCTTTTTCTACATACCTTGAGGTACCAAGAGCAGCTTGTGAACACTGCGATGCTGGGGTGGATGGAGCATCCCACAGGAATGCACCCCCCCCCGTGCTCAGTGGCGAACCCGGAAGTGGACTGGAAGTACTTCCAGTCCACTTCCGGGTTCGCCACTGAGCGCACAGGGGGGCCCCCTTGACTTGGCAAACAGCCACAGAGGGACCCCAGGTGCCCCCCCCCCCCATACCCAGGAGGCACCAGTCACTGAGCCAGGGGGTGTGCTCCTCCCCCACCATGTGCTTCCCAGTGGACCTAGAAGTGGATCGGAAGTGCTTCTGGTCCACTTCTGGGTCTGCTGCCAAGCCTGCTGGGGAGCCGCCTGCACTCCTGTGGGATGCTCCATCTGCCCCAGCACTGCAGCAGTCACGAGCCGCCTGGTACCTTGGAGTATGTAGAAAAAACATTTAAAGCTGTGGCTACGTCCAAATCATCAGATCTTTCCGAATCAATGCAGAGGCTTCCAATTCGATTCAGAGAGATTAAAAGGTCTCTTGATTTGATTCATTGTAGGGATTTGGAGATTTGGCCACTGAATCAGGCTGAATCTCCACCAAATCGAATCAGGGACCAAAGGTTCGCACAGCCCTAGTGGGTATGCCTACTCAAGCTGCAACCCCACTTCCTGCAATGCAGAGAGGCATACAAAGTAGTTACTGCATGGTAAGCTAAGGCAGGGGTTTTCTACCTTTTCCAGTCAGTGTATCCCCAGTGGCCAACAAGCTGGGGGGGGGGGGGGGGCCTATCAATGTGGGGGGGCGCAAAACAAGCCGCAAAACCAGAAGTGCCATCAGCATGCAGTGGTGAAACTGGAAGTGCTGGTGGCATATGGCACCAGAGAAAGCAAAAGCACTGGCAGCATGTGGCAGTGCAAAGTGCTGGTGGCCCCGCCCCCCACACCACTGCCATATACCCCCCAGGGGCCTTCTCAAATACCTCCAGGGGTATGCATACCGTGGTTGACAATCCCTGAGCTAGGGTGTTTGCTTACAGTATACCAGCTACATCACAGTAATCTCCTGCATTCATGTTCTTACTCCATGGTAAGATAAGCAGGATACTTTAATCCTTAATGCAAGTCAGATCAGTTACCACATGTATTAACCACCAGCTAAGACATACAGATGTTAGCAAAGGGCAGCTGATATGTTCTAAGTCAGGTGTTAGACTCAAGACACCCTTTGGAAAATGCCACTGGTATTTCACTGGTTTCTTGACTATGGAAAAAAAATAGAGCAATTCTTCTGTTTCAAAGAACTCAGAAAAAGACTATGTAACAGGTCAGGAAGTTTCTGACACTGTAGATTCCTACTTGAAATCTCTGGGCTTCTCATTGTGCAAATGTCAGCACACCCAACGCTGCTAATATTATGTGGCTTCCCATAGCACCCTAGGATTCAATATTATCCTGGTTGCAAATCTTTGCTCTAAATTCACCTTCCCTCACCTCAATTATTTCTGTGTCCATACTTCATACGTACGTGTGAACGCACGTTGTGGGGATGCGCTATGATTGAATTTCAACCCATCAGAACAGGATACTGCACTTTGCTACATGCGTAACTGTTCTATATTATGCTTATCACAAGTATTTAAAGCATTTGTAGTTGCTTGAACCTACTGAAACAAGTTCAGTTTGATTCCTAAACTGAAACACCAACACCCACCTATGTAGACTTACAGTATGCAACATGGAGCTACGAGGCTAGTGCTGTTTGTAAGAAGTTGCCTAGATACACACACAAACAGAAGTGAAACACTTGCCAAATACCTACCCCTGGACACTGACACTGAACTCATCATCTACAGCAAATGAAACAAACAATTACAGGATATGTAGAAAAGCCTTTGTCCTGCTCATGACCATGTTTCAGTTAACTTTCTGAATCCTAAGAGAATATCCTATCTTCTGAAGAGGAGGCTCTGCCTGTCTTCTGATTCTGGGGATAATCCAAGCCATAACTCCCTGTGGGTATAAAGTAATTCAGAGACTGAAAATTGAAATTCTATTCAGCAGCCTCAGCTTGTCACCGATGACTAATTTTAAGCAGACTTGACTGTATTTGCCGGGAGGGGGGTGGGTGGAGACTAATGATTCTTCCTAAATCTTCAGCTTGTGCTGGCTTGCCCTATCAGGCATTTGGGACTTTTTTGAAAAAGTCTCTCAACCATTGCTCAGCCTAGTTCAGCTCTGCTAAGTGTTATTAGTGATAGAATACTTGTGCACATGAGCTGCCTGTTTCTGCTTGTATTTTAAGCACCACCACATCAAGACTAGCTTGGAGCAGATTTATGTTGCCACAAGGTGCACCTACACGTGCAAATGCTCCAGGATGAGTTTACTCCAGAGTAAACCTCCCCTGGGCAGGTGTCTACATGTGCAGGGAAGCAGGAGCAGATTTGCTGCTCATGGCAGCAGTCTGCTCTTGCACACCTGCTGCAGCAGTCAGGAGGAGCTCTAAGCTCCCCCTGGGAATTATTCCAGGGGCTGGCACCAAGCACAGGGCCAGGAGATAGTTGCCTCCTGGCCAGGGCTAGGAGATTGCTCCCTACTCCTGGGAGCTGCCTGCTCCTGGGGAAGGCTCTGCTACCAGAGTCTGGGCAGGGACAGTGTCACCCTGCCCTGGCAGCAGGGAGCCTCCCAGCCTTCAGATTATCTCCCAGCACCCACTCTGTGATCAGGGAGATTCTCATCTCCCAGTCCCGGCTTTGCAATCATGAAACTGGGGCTGAGAGATAAGAATTGCAATCATGGAGCTGGGAGCTCCCTGCTGCCAGGGCAGGAGGACATTGTTCCCACTCAGGCTTTAAAGGTGGGCCCCACTCTGGCAGCAGGAAGCTCCCAGGGACAGGGAACCCCCTCTCCCCATCTCCCCGCTGTCCCCCAAACGTGCCAGCAGCACATTTGCTCCGAGCTGGCCAACTACACATGATGTACTGCACAGTTATTATCCTTGAGTAAATTTGCTCCTTGTATTTACAGGTAGCAAATTTACTCATTAGAGCAAAGTACTAAGCAGTAAGCTTCTGATGGACTGTGATGCTTACTGCACAGTAATTTGCTCTGATTTTGAGTAGAGTGTCTCACGTAGATACATGTGCAGTGCTTAAAATTATAGGAGCAACCAACTGAATGCACTAGGTTTCCCCATGCTGCTAACACTGGTTCTAGCAAAGGCAGGAGATACTGAAAGAAAAATATCCCAATGCAATTAAAGTCTCTGACATCAGTAACAGTTATGTTGAGAACAGCATGCATGAACCCCTCCACAACTTTCAGGAATGGGATAGAAACAACTACAGAAAATGGAAACTTTCAGAAAACCTTTAAGGAAGATGACATCAGACAAGATCACATCTATTTCTATTCCAATGTTTCCCTGGAAGCTACTTTTCCATTTCAGTGATTCACAGCATGGAAAATTTTGTGATTTGGATGAACAGCTGATCCCATAAAGGGCAGGGGACATTGTTATACTTGGGACCCTATAGCCTGAAGCAGTGGTCCTAAAATGTTTGTGGAACTTAGCCATGTGTCACATTAAAACAATCCTTAGGCAAGACATTTCCAGTAAATGCATGAAAACAACCACAGAACAGTACCCACGTACCTTGATGACTATCCCTTCATTAACATTTAAGGAACATAATTTTCTCTCTGTTTAAAATAAAGCAGCAACCCTCTCACTCCAAAACAGGTGGAGATTTTGAAATCAACACCAACAATAGGCATTACAGGATTATGACCATCAGACCCTCCTTTACCACAAAATATTTTCACGCTGAAGGATGTAGGTCTTCTTGTCAGATACAGAGCGAGGTTTCTTTCTGAAGCACCCAAAATGAGGAGGAGTTCACTCAATGAACATTTTTCATATAATTGAAGATGAAACATTTGAGTCAATGGAAACTGTGACCATGACCATGCCTACCTTAGGCATTTTTTAAAGTTTCACACTATCATGTCATCACCAATATATAATGAATAGATTTAAGAAAGGACTATTTAATGTATTAATTTACCAATAATTAACATATCACTAAGTCAGAATACAGGTGAAGATGAGACTAACACATTATACACACCTTTCCTGATGTAATATCACTGATACAAATAGGAACTTCAGTCTGTAAAGCTAACAGTTTGCTACAATGCCAGGAAGTTCTATGTTATGATATCATCATCCTGATCCATTTGCTAATCCTATAACAAAATAATTAAGGATTGTAGTATAAATCTGACCTATCTGGACCTACTCTGTAGTATAAATCTGACCTACTCTGACCTATCTGGACGCCACTTTGCTTGATCTATCTAGGGTGCAACAGTCTGATTCCATCTCATCATTGTACTTTGTGCCACAAAAGTGCTGATTCACTAACTTAAAGGGTGGAGTTCCTGAATAAACAAGTTATTTATTCTGATGTCACCTGCAGGAAGAAAAATATCTGTGTAATTTTAATCAAAGTTAAGGAAAATTAACTGTATTTAAGGGAGACATAATGTTCAATGAAACAGTATCAAAGCTCTCCAACAGTAGCTACAAATATTCATTTTTGTCAAGTAGAAAGATACCCAAACTCCTGGAGGAGAAATACTGCTTTGATATTTTAGATCATGACACTTCTGCTATGTAGTAAGTAAAGTAAACACACAACTATCTGGTAACTTAAGTGCAAAGTTAACATGAATGAATATTTCATGGCATTTGTGTAACTGACATTTTTATAAGTGTTTACTTAATCATTTAAATCTTTAATAATTTAATTCAACAATAATAAATCTGTAATAATTGATTCTGTCTGAGTGTGAAATGCTTTTTCTTATTGCTGTGTTCACAGGACAATAGCTGCTCTGTTCCCAAGGGAATCACACATTATAGAAATGACAAAGAAGGTATTAGTGACAGCCAATCTACACTGTGGGCAAGATGGCATGTGCTACCAGCTTTCTCTGAGGCTGTACCAAATAAGAACTTGACAATACTTCTGTGGGCAAAAGAGAACTAGCACCAGAAGGCATGACCACAAAGACACTCCAAATAATGTTAAACCTTTAGGGGTTTGATTTGACACCTAAAAGTAAAAGGCCACTGTGATACTTTTTATATTGCCAAGCCGCAGATTTGGACTAGAGGGCAACTTTTTATATCAACAGAATAATCTATACTTTATTCTTTCTATATATATATCAATAAATTAAACAAGGCTATATGGTTGATAGCATATATACGTATATGTATATATACATATACACACACATACACACGCTATTGGGTGCAACACAGGATTTTTTTTATTAGAAAGGGAGGGAGATGGGTGCATTATTATGTACAATGTTATACTTATTAAATAAACCTGTCAAAGTCAGAGGCTCTAATCACTAATTAACTTCTTTCTTTACACAGGACAGAGAGAGGGTGATACTACAAGCTTTCCCACACTGCCCTGCCTGCATTCCTTATTTGTTATCCAAAGACGTTAACTTCAGGAGTTGGGAAAGTAGCTCAGTCATTCTCGGCTCCAGTCCGGTCTGTCCCAGCCCAGAATGCCAACAAGGCTCTTGGAGAAGGTCCACTATGATGCAAGCACATGCTCAAAATGCTGTTTCTTTCTGCAGCAGGTAGCTATTAAACTTTCTTTAATCTCATTTTACCACCCTGAGGTACTAATTAAGCATTCTCAGACATTTACACTGAAGTGATTCATGCTTTTCTGTAGCTATAGAAACAGAAATGTATACTTTACACACCTGTGGTATTAGGCACATAATGTAAGAGGCTGAATTCAATAAGCTTTTGTACATTCAGGTGATTCATAGTGTGGCTACTCCGCATTTTTTGTTTGTCTTTGCATGAGGAGATAAGAGGGCTTTATCATTTCCTTTCTGGGTTTTTTTACATTTTACTTCAAATGGGACAGGTATAATACCTTCAGTAGAAGCTCATGAAGCTCCAGCTCCAAGTCTCTATCATGGACAGAATAGGTTGACAAGCAGCTTGAGTTGACGGGACATTTTTTCATACTTTCTTCCTCCTGGCCCTGAACAAACAATTCTAGTTGCCAAGAGGTTTGATAGGTTTGCAGGTATGGGGCTATTATGTAGTTAGGATGATATTAACAAAGCCCATTTCGATATGGGTAGGAACCAACCAAAATTATAATTTCACAATTTTCACAGAAACTGTGATTTTGGGTGGATTCTGTGAAAAAGTACAGGCACCGTGCTTTTGGCAGGCTCCCTGAAAATAAAACAACTTACTGAAAATAAAACACTGGCCCACTCTGGGAAGCTAGCAGTCCTCATGGCCACTGCAGCCTATCTATGCAGCCTGCTGAGAGAAGAAGAGCAGGGATGGGTTGCTGGCATGGCAAGATGGCCGTTGCCCTGACCCTCTGTGCTGATTGGCTGGAAGGGTCATCTGTCATACGGCCCTGATCCTTTCCAATCGGTAGTGAGGGGCAGGGCTGCATGACAGACATCCTTCATCCAATCAGTGGCAAGGGGCAGGACCACATGATGGACCTGCAGCCAATCAGCAATGCAAGGCAGGGCCATGGGGCTCCTTGGCCAACCAGAGGCATGAGGGAGGCCTGATGCACTCTGCCCATTAAAATAGATGCCAGCCTTGTATTTTTCCCACAAAACCAAGGGCAGCTGCCTCAAGTTTAGAAGACCCCTAGATATGGGATAAACAAGTCTCAAAGTCCTCATAAAATATAGGAGCCATGGATTCATGTACCAACAGGACTTCTTCCTCCACTTGCCATCTCTCTTTTTTTTTTTAAGTGTAAATCTCCCTAGCTGTATTGTTCTCCTGATCCACATATTTGGTGAAGGATCGATTGCATCAGCACAGTACAGCATGTAGTATTGCCAACTTTAGCAATTTTATTCAGATTCTGATGCTAATTGGTATTCTTCTGAAAGTGTCAGTTCTTGAAATCTTGTGATTATATGAGGATCTTGGCTTCTTAAAGAAGTTTGAGTCTTAACAGGTTCAGAGGAAGAGCTTAAAAAATAATTGGGTGAAACCTCATCGTAAACTAGAAGAATCAGTCCTTTATTTTATTTTAAAATAAATATTGACATTTTTAAGCCAATAAGGTTTCTGGGGCCAGGTACATGACTTCCTAGTATCTGAGTATAAAGTACTACACCATGGCCTTCCGTCATCTGTTAGGGATGAAATCAGGAAGTGCAATTGGAGTTAGCAAGGGATGTGAAGGGTAACAAGATGGGGTCCTACGTGTATATTTGCAACAACAACAACAAGTCAGAGAAAGTGTGGGTCCCTTACTGAATGGGGGAGGCAACCTAGCAAGAGTTGATGAGGGAAAGGCTGAAGTACCCAATGCATTTTTTACTTTGGTCTTTACAGCCAAGGTCAGCTCCCAGACTACTGCACTGGGCAGCACAGTATGGGAAGAAAGTGAGCAGCCCTCAATGGTGAAAGAACAGGTTAGGGACTATTTAGAAAAGCTGGATGTATACAAGTCCATGGGGCCGGGTGGAATGCATCTGAGGGTGCTGTGGAAGTTGGCTGATGTGATTTTGAAGAGCTGCTGGCCATTATTTTTGAAAACTTGTGGTGATCAGGGGAAATCCCAGACGATTGGAAAAAGGCACATATAGTGCACATCTTTAAGAAAGGGAAAAAGGAGGATCTAGGGAAGTACAGGCCAGTCAGCCTCACACCTGAGTCCCTGGAAAAATCATGGATCAGGTCCTCAAGAAATCCAGTTCTAAGCACTTGGAGGAAGAGAAAGTGATTAAAGGAACAGTCAGCATGGATTCACCAAGGGCAAGGCATGCCTGACCAACCTGATTGCCGTCTATGATGAGATAACTGGCTCTGTGGATTTGGGGAAAGGAGTGTACTTTACTAAGGTTTTTGATATGGTCTCCCATAGCATTCTTGCAAGGAAGTTAAGGAAATATGGATTGGATGAATAGACTGTAAGGTGGATAGAAAGCTGGCTGGATTGTTGGGCTTAATGGGTAGTAATCAATGGCTTGATAGCTAGTTGGCAGCTGGTATCAAGTGGAGTGCCATAGGGGTCTGTCCTGAGGCCAGTTTTGTTCAATATCTTCATTAACGATCTGGAAAATGGCATAGAGTGCACCCTCAGCAAGTTTGCAGATGACACCAAGCTGGGGGGAGTAGTATAGATGCTGGAGGATAGGGCTAGGATTCAAAGCAACATAGACAAATTGGAGGACTGAGCCAAAAGGAATCTCATGAGGTTCAACAAGGACAAATGAACAGTCCCATGCATTGCTACAGGCTGGGGGCTGACTGGCTGGGCAGCAGCTGTGCAGAAAAGGACCTGGGGGGTTACAGTGGACAATAAGCTGAATATAAGCCAACAGTGTGCCCTTGTTGCCAAGAAGGCTAATGGCATACTGAGCTGCATTGGCAGGTGTGTTACCAGCATGTCAAGGAAAGTGATTATTCCCCTCTATTCAGCACTGGTGAGGTCATATCTGGAGTATTGTGTACAGTGTTAGGCCCCCCACTACAGAAGTGATGTGGACAAATGGGAGAGAGTCCAGAAGAGGGCAATGAAAATGGTTAGGGGGTTGTGGCACATGATTTCTGAGAAGCTGAGGGAACTGTGTTTATTTAGTCTGAAGAAGAAAAGACTAAGGGGGGGATTTAATAGCAGCCCTCCACTACCTGAAGGGTGGTTCCAAAGGGGATGGGGCTAGACTATTTTCAGTTGTGGTAGATCACAGAAGCAGCAGCAATGGTGCCAAGTTGCAGCAAAGGGAGTTTAGGTTAGAAATTAGGAAAAGCTTTCTTACTAGGAGGGTGGTGAAGCACTGTAACAGGTTACCTAGAGAGGTGGTGGAATCTCTATCCTTGCAGGTTTTTCAGGCCCAGCTCAACAAAGCCCTGGCTGGAACAATTTAGTTGGGGATGGTTCTTCTTGAGCAGAGGGTTGGGCTAGATGACCTCCTGAGGTCCCTGTCAACCCTTCTTTTCTATGATTCTATGATTTCTGCATGAATAACATTCATTTGGCAGCACCTTAAGGGACACAATATCCTAAAGGTAAACAGGTTGTATCATGCTCCTTGCTGATTGCATCATCTTATCAAAGGAAAATCTTATCTGTATGTGGGCGATTGCATTGGTTGGGTCTTTGAACAAGTTTTAATAAAACTTAGATGCAATCATGTGTTTCCTAGAAGCATTTCTGGATGTCTGTAAAGTTGCAGCTGGATTGCTGCCTTTGGGTATAAAGGGAGTGGTGTTGGATGATTTGGAAAAGGAAAAAATCTGTGCTGTTTCTTTTGGCTTTTGTGAAGAATATTACTCAATTGAAGATTAAGGATCCTATTGTCATTGTTATAGTATTATTTGCAGAAATGTATACATTAGTAGGCGTGAATGAACAGGGTGGTGTGAGTTGCTCTATTATAGAACAGAAATGAGGATGAATTGTTAAATTCTGTAATGAAAGTTCTGCCCTCTCTCCTCTTCACTAGTAATACTACATATCAGACTTTTTACCAGTCTTGATTTAAAAAACCCGTGCTGTACTTTATGATGAAAACATTCAAACAGAAATGCTGAAGATTCTTGATCAATGTTATTCATGTAATAAAAGCACGTTACACTTTTCCAAGTGAGATGTCAATTCTAATGGCACAAAGTAGTATGAAAGTTGACATAGGGTTTATTACCTGAGCATAAAGAATCTTAGAATTATTCTCCACTTTGTTGCCTTCAGTATGGAGGGGACCATAGGAAAATGTGATGATAGGAGTACTCCAGGAGTATGCCCATTTGTCAGCTGGGAAATTTGTAGCATGATTTAGGCCAGTATTGAGAAAACTCCCTTGCCAACTTTAACTGCAGCAGTATTGAGAGACTTGAGTCATTTTTCCTACGCAGGATATCCTGCTTACCAGGAGGAGGAATTACTGAAGCACACCTAACTTAAATAAGTTATTTTTTTGGAGGACAATACATTGATGTTTGCTAGTTACATTCAACTTCTGTTGTTATTTTTACTAACCCTAAACCAGAGAAGGTCAATCTAATGGAGTTCTGCTTGGCACAAGACCCAGTCCAGGGAAGGCAGAAATCCAACTGTGGATGCAAGTAACCTTTATGTTCTGCCAGTTCCAGTGACTGCTGGAAACTGGTTTACAACTAAGAACCACTCTCAACACTGGCCTAAATCATGCTACAAATTTTCTAACTGGAAAATGGGCATACTCCTGGAGTACTCCTATCATCACATTTTCCTATGGTCCCCTCCATAGTGAGGGCAACAAAGTGGAGAATAATTCTAAGATTCTTTATGCTCAGGAAATAAACCCTACATCAACTTTCATACTACTTTGTGCCATTAGAATTGACAACTCACTTGGAAAAGTGTAATGTGGTTTTGTGAACACAATCTAACAATTCTGGTAGAGAATAATGGGGACTGAATCACCGTGGACAAATTTTCACAGCAGTTTAAAAACAATATCAAGCATTAGTAACCATTAGTAACCTAGTAACCATTAGGAAATGAGAAACTACATCTAACATCATGTTCTTGGGAAAAGTATTTAGATTTGCTTAAGAAATTAGCAGCTCATTTAGTTAAGAGGCATTTGAGAGGTTTGTAGGTACACCAGGATTTCACAGGAAAAGCCTGACAATGATGAATTAATTTAGCTAATATAAGAGCTAGAGAGGACAGCATCAGCCACTCAAAGATAAAATCATTTTTTTATTTATCCAGCTGTACTTACAGTGCTGGACAATTATGTTGAGAACAAAAGAAACACCTCTTGCAACTGCTTGATTAGCTAGTGGATTTCACTGTGTGGGAAGTCTCAGAGTCAAGTACTGAAGTTCAGAGTTTCCCAGTTTGTCTATTGGAAGTGGTCTACTCCCATAGCACTGGATCTCCTCCTTCCTTCCAGATGCTAAATGGCATTAAAGACAGTGGAAAAATATGTTAATGTACTTGCTTAATAGTCTTCTGCATAAATATTTTGTTGTTGGCCCAGAGATGTTTTGCAATTGCAAATGGGTGGAGAGGCTGTCTGGATAATCATGTATAGGGAAGTGGTCCATCATCTGTCCAATAATATATGGTGTACACCAGAACAAAGCCTGAGTTATTACAGATTTAAAAAGGTAAGCTGAATTTTATGACCAATAATTATTGGGTCAGGTTGGAACCCAATAAAGTCTCATGAGTTGGCATATAAAACTGATGGGCTCGGGGGGTCAGGTAGGAATTTCCCCCACAGCTATGCTCAAATGGCAAGTTATGTTACAGGATATTTTTGCTTTATGAAGCACTAGATACTATCTACCAGTAGATGGAGGGTACTGGACTGGAAAGGCCAGTAGTCTAATCCAATGTGGCAAAACTTAAGCATGAGGCAGTATGAAAACCTGACCTCTATTTTGGAGGAGAGAATTTTTTAAAACTTGTAACAAATAAATGAATGAAGCAGCTCCTGTCTCTTCACAGGACGTCTCCTGTGTCAATCAAATTCCAGATATCTCATCTTGTTAATCTGCATAGAAGATAGAGAAATCTCCTGACTCATTCCATGGATCCATAGTTCCAACAATAAACCACTTCATTTTTCTTTGGTGAGTATAAACTCCTTGTCTTCTCCCAATCATTAGACACCTGCCTGAACTGGCTTTCTTTAAACAAGCCTCAATTATTAGATTCAAGCTTCTGCCACACAGGTATATACAGAGAAAGACTGAACTCAATTTCAAGCACATCACACAAATTCCTCACTCAAAATTGGTTTGATCTAATACTATAGCCGATAGAACCTCTCATGATGAAAAACAAATGACAAGAGACCGTATTATTTCTCCTCCCTTTCCTTACAATTTTTGGCGCTACAGGAACTTCTAATGTAAAAATCTATATAGGAAGACTCAGGGCACTTATACATGTTATGGATCTCTGTTCTGACATGTGCTAATTGGCATGTATCAGAGTGGACTCAATTAATCAATTAATTGCGACTGCTGGGAGTCTGGTGGAGCATGTTAATTAGTGCACTCCCGCAGTCTCCACATCATGTGTATTCAGCATCTCAGTGTTTCAAAATGACGGCAGGGGTACCATTTTGAAGTACTGGACGCTGAATACACGTGATGCTGCAGGTGCTTTAAGTAGAGCAGCTCTTGGGGTGTTTATACACATGCTCCAGGAGTGTGTGTGGGGGGGAAGGGGGGAGTGTTGCTTTAATTAGAATGGCTCTCGGAGTTGCTCTAATTAAAGCACCCAGAGTATCATGTGTATCAGCATCCCTGTGCCAAAAAATGGCAGTTGGGGTGCTTTAACCAAAGCTCATTGAATGATGAGCGTGGGATTAATCAAGTCTGCTCTGATGCACTGTAATTACACCTTGTCAGAGCAGCCTTGCTGCACATGTATAGGTGCCCTCAGAGCCAATCTAATTAAAGTGCCTGTCCCCCTTCCACTACGGAGCATGTGTATAGACACTTTTAGACTAGAGAAGCAGGGGCAAAAAATTAAAACATGAACATGATGCCAACACAACAGATGCTGTTATAAGCACATATAGGTTGACAAGAAGCAGTGTCTATATTTGAACCCACAAACTGGAGCAAAAAAAAATTCATTATTTGCACCCATAGTCAACCAGGAACATAACTGAAGGTTCAAATGACAGGGCTGGGCTGATGTGCAATAAAAATGTGACCCTAGGTTTGCTGATATGAGGTCAAAAAGAAAATGGTAGCAAAACAAAACAAAACAAAAAACAACCCACCCAAACCCACACCTACCTACTATTTCCCTTCCCTCCACAGCTCTGCTGGGGGCATTAAAAGCATGGCATTCTATAACAGGGATTAGGATTAAGAGTCAGTTGTATTCTAACAGAATATAACTTGTGTTTCCTCTTTTACCCCTTTCCATAGTTTGGTTTTCATCATGGAAACAGCTTATCATTAGCACCTGAGTTCCCAGTTCCATAACCAGTATGTTTTGAAGTAAAAAAAAAATACTCCTAAATGGTTTCTATATAATATTACATTAGTCTGTAAATTGCTGCAATGAGAAAAAGGATCCAAAATCAGCAGTTCACAAAGTTTTAAATTTTCACCTAGATTTAAAAGTATTTTTCATACTATTTTCTGTAAATAGAGAAATGAAGAGATTATTTTTGAACAAGCTACAGTGTAACCCACTCAAGAAATACATTTTTTACTGCTCTTCCAAATTCAGTGTTATTTGCTTGAGACTGCACATACAGACACTTGTCCAAATGTATTACATACAAAATAGATGGCCAACAGCTCACAAACTGCTGACTGACAAGGGGCAGAAATCACGTGAATCATCAACATGATCTGGCATTCAGAACTATTCTGTTGAGCAGAAATTCACTGATGTTGTATCAGAAAAAAAGTTACCTCCATTTTCAGCGTGATCAAGGAAACAAACTCCTGTTGGACGTGCACAACTGACAATCTACTGTCCTTCATTTTTCTTCAATCTCCCTCCCATGGTCACTGATAAATCAGGGCAACCATTACCAGGCATGGAAATAGTTGTGGACCATACCATTATTGTTGGTCATGGACAGAGTATTTTAGGGCCCTAGGTAGGCTGCTATTGTTCCTATGCAAAGGAATGATTGTGCTCCTTGGCCAGCTTTAGAACTAACATTCACATTTTATCACTGACTCTTACAGGACTGAGTATTGGGAATCCAACAGAATCTAATGTGGAAACCTGTAGAAAATCAAAGTACATTTTTTTGATCCTGCAGCAGCTAAAGGCTTTGATCTGAGCTAGAAGGAAGTATTCATAGTCACTATGGGGGGATAATCTGGTCTATACTGTTTCTTATGTCTACAAATATCTAGAGTTCAGCTACCTACGTGCATGAAGATCATGACTACCTTGATGTATAGCCTAGACTAAGGCTTCATCTACATGACACAAGGTGTGATTAACCAGTTAAACATGTTCAATCAATTAATGGAATGACAAAAAAGGAATAAAGTACAAAGTTATTCCTCAAAATATGTGTAACTGCTTCCTAACATGCCATTAATTGAACATGTGGCCAAAGCCCCTGTGGGTGGGAGCCCCATCAGCTGATGGGAGCTCCTAGCTGGGTGGCCCACTGCACCCAAGCTTGGGAGCTACCTGCTCTGAGATGGGGAAGCCCCCACACACCCCTGTGGCTGAAAGATCACAGCTGCTGTGAACTTCCAGCTGCAGAGGCACTCTATGTGGCTGGGAGCCCTGTCAGCTGGCCCAGGCTCTCAGCTGAGGGCGTTTGCTTCTTGCCGGTGCAGGGGGAACTCGAATGGGGCTCCCCTGCATTGGCAATGAGGTGCAATGGAATCTAATGTGGAATACACACAATTGTGCCTCCTGCCAAGCACATGTGGCATGGCAGGAGGTACAATTTTGTGGATCCCACATACCATTTCATTGTGTTTTTACCTGCATGTGTAGAGGGGCCCTGATACAAGTCATACTCCCTGACCTGTCTTCCTAGCACACATACTGAAATCCCATGAGATTACAGTAAAATCTCTGTTATCCAGCATACGTGGGGAGTGCTGGTTATGTAAAAATCCCAGATATCTAAAAATGAGGGGGGTGGGGCTTAGCGGTGGTGCAGGGTGGTGGATGGCAGTGGTGGTGCAGAGTGGTTGCACGTGGCTTACATGCGACGATGGTTGTGCGGGTGTAGCGTATGACTGAATCAAGTTTTAGCAATATGTAATGCAAGGCTAGAACATGATAGCTTAAAACATCTTTGCATTTGAATAGGTTATGTTTAGATTAAGTAATAACAGCATTACATTAATAGTAATATGGTGTGTGTGTCTGTGTGTCTCTATACACACACACTAACCATATTACTATCAATAAATAGCTTGATTACATAATATGTGTAATCATTTATATAATATGTAATTGAGCTATATATTTTTATATAGTGCATTAAGGATAATAGTATGATTGATTGAATTAATGAAGAGTGTATGGACTGTTTAGTGTTCCTGTGTAAGCAAGAAGAGGCTTGCTAAGACGCTGAATATGCAAGTTAGCAGACAACAAACTGTTAGAAGGATGGCTAAAGAACCAGTCTGACTAGGTGCAGAGGAGCTGGGCTAAGCAACAGAATAAAGGAGGGATTCTGCATGTCCTGCAATTTAGCTTAAACAACTTTCAAGGCTGGAAGACTGACTTTTACAACAGGAGCGACCTTGGGCTGAGATAACGAAAAGAATCATGAGAAACAACAGATGTTTCTGTTGAGACGTGCGGATGGAAAAGTACCTCGACTTCGGATAAAGACTTGAAATCCCTATAAAAGTGGGATCCACCAATGCTGAGATGGGGACTTCACACTCTGCAACCTTCACTGGAGCACAGGGGCATCTGTTCACCCCCGTTCCCATCATCCTCAGTGAGCCTGGGCTGGCCACCCAGTGCTAACATTGAGCAAACAAGCTGGTAACTAGAACATCTGAACAGAGTGTTTGTTTGTTTGTCTGTGCTGGTGTGAATGATATGTTAGTGTATGTCTTATTATGTTTTTGTTTTATGTAATCAATAAACATGGCATCTTGCCTTATCCCTCCCTTATAAGGTCTTGCTCATCTTTTGAGCAAAAGGAAATTTAGATAACACAGGGTGGTGGATAGTGGTGGTGGCAGTCAATAGAGTATTCCGGCTAGTAGAATGCTGGATAACAGATATTTTACTACATTAGTTTTGGAAATGCTAAAACCAAAGCCAGCAGCAGCTGTCATGTCTGTTCTGGTAAGTTTGGGGAGCCATGAGTTGGCTTGTATATTCCTGGTATTCATATACTGGTTTAATCTAAAAATTCAGACATTCTGTATATGTACTCAAAGAATTTCACTCCTCATGTCTATTTGTGGATGAAAAATAGCACAGCAAGCATGAATGCAACCAAGGTCTCAAACAGTTAGCCATCCCAACAATGACAAGCTATACTCTGATTCAGTTAATACAAAACAGTCTGCCAAGTCTAAATTTGATCTAAATCAGAAATAATTTAAGTGTAACAATATGTACAAATCATAACATGGGTTATTTATTTTTCTTTTAGAGTCTTCTCCTTTCTAATTGTAACTGAAGGTATCATGAATACTGTTACAAGATTTTGAAAGGTTAAGACTTTCAGATACGCAGGGCAAACTCAGCCTGAATCTATATCAAGTTAAACTGTGTCCAAAGATCAAATTCCTTGGCTGTTGAGGTACTATTTTTTTTTGCTGAAAACTGTGCTTCAGATCCCCACCCTCACTTAACCATCACATGCCTTATAACTAAAATATTTCCACTCTGGGAGTTCACAAAATTAACTGGAATCTAATACCTGTAATTTAGAAACAGCTTTAAGTAAACCTTGCTTTTTGTTAGTCTATCATTGCATCTACAAGAAACACTAGAACAGTGTCTGGGATGTTAACTGAAAGTAAATAAAGCTATAAATAAATATAACAGTGGTAAATTAGAAAAGGTATTGTATTTAAACAGAGAAGAATAGCTTAATGAACATGCACATTTAGCTATGCTTAAAAATCTGTGCCTTTTGTATATTTTTAAGGTACAGGCATAAAAATGTATCACTCACTAAACAAATATTTATTAATCTTTTCAGGATATCAAAATATATTCTGTGTAACACTCATCAATAGAAAAGCAATTCTGAACATAAAGATGCAACAAATAACACAAATAAAACAGTCTGAACAAAAACCTCTTTGTTAAATTCAGGCCCTGGATACTTTGGAGGCCTGAATAGTTTGTAGCATTTTGCAGTTTTCTTCAACATGGCAGAGCAGCTTGCTCTCTACCAGCCTCTTCTGGTTTCTCTGAAGCAACAACATAAGCATTTTTTGTCTTGTCTTTCTCCACATTTTCTCAGTTTAGTGAAGATATTTCTGCTTTGCTAGAGTTCATGTTTTATTTCATTTTTCACTTTTTCATTGTATTTGCCTGTTTGCAGTTGTTTGTCCTCAGTTTTTTTGCAGCGACACCTTCACTTCTAACAGGCTTAGCTAGCATGGGATTGATTCTTGTTTCCATGGATACTGATTTTCTCCGGTTGGCTGGGTTTGCATGTGCTTTTACCCCATACATCTAGAAGTATTGAGAAAAAAAAATGAGAATTACATTCAGAGAATTTCTAGTCCATGAAGCTGGACTCTAGTTTTATGCAATAGCTAAGTATACAGAAGCTTGAAAAAGTATAGGAGATATTTTATCTATTATGAAAAATACCGGCTGAAATATTTCCTCAAAATGGTCTTCCTTTTTAAAAATGTGACTCACTTGAACAAAGGTTTAGAATTAAGAGCATGCATCTGCTTCTAGAAATCCTCATACTTGATTAACTACATCATTTATACACTTGTCCTAAACTTAATTCTATGTTTAGACGCCAAAAGATTTACAGCACACAAGAATCTTCTCCAAACCCAGGAAACAGTTCCATGTCAGTTCAGTGCTATTTCATACTAGTGAAATTATTAACAACTTAATTTAGAAAACATCCACATGTTCTAAAGTCTTTAGACTCAGAGTAAGTACTTGGTAAAATATATATTTAGCAAACTTACTTTAAAATGCCATCTCTTTGAGCTAAACTAAAAATCGTGAAGTGAGGGAGAATATACACTCTGTATGAATGTGTTCATTTTCATTAAGGAGGAATAAACCACCCACATACCATAATGGATTTGAGATACCATAATCATATCTTACTAAACTAAATGTAATCACACACCTCCAGACCTGGCATGACAAGTGGCTCTTATTTTAGCAATCCTCTATGCCAAAAAAACCTCATTTAGGATTATTTAAGATGATACAGCTAAAGAAAGAGAATTTGAGCACTGAATTGTAATCAGAATTTCCTCAAAGGCGAGGCCATTTTGTGGAAACGGAACTGGGATTCTGGTTACTTAATTTTCCTTCTAAAAGTTCTTCCTGAAATGGTTTGAAAAGCAGCATGATAAAAAAAAGTCAATGCATCAGAGATGTCATCTGGGGAAATTTCTTTCTGCAGTTGTACTTGAAACACTAACTATAGGTGGCCCTAATGAAGAGTATGACATGAGTATACTACCAAGAAGTAAAAACAGTACTGATAGCTCAAGGAGCAAAATTCAACTTCTTTACATGGTCCCAAATGAATGACTTTTTTTTTCATCAAGGAAAAGGGCATGCTTTAAAAATATTTATCAAAGAGCAGGATGTAAATGGAATAAGGCCTGACTCTAACAAGTAATGAAAATAAGTGCTGGGCTAATTACTTAATTAATTAATTAATAAACAAATACATATAAACTTGAAATTAGCCTACTATAATTAATTATTGCAATGTTGTGAGCCTGTGAGTTTAAATTTTGTAGCCAAGGATCTCAGAGCCAAAGATAAGAGACAAAAGTATCTTAACCTAGAAGCAGTTTATGGGGTCAACACTTTGCTTTTAGTGTAAATACTCACCTTCTGTTTCCTCATGGTTTCTTGGGGTCTAGGTGGAAACATACATGGGACTCTTCCATGATACATGTGATAGGGTAAAGGAAGGGTGGGGTCTAATGGTACCCATGGGACTGAAAGGGTTGCTGGAACACTAGGCAGATTGCTGTGAGCTTTATGTAAATTATATGATGCTCTGGTCACTTTCCCAAGGGAGCTCTTGTAGATTGCAACTGATGAATCTCCTGCAGCATGAGTCAACAAATATGAGCCCTCCTGAAAACTATAAAGTACAGACATATCACTAAACAAATTCAAAACGTATTAAGATAAAAAAAATAAGCAGCATTAATTTAGGTAAACCACCTGATCTCTTTATAAGCAGAGGTGGTACAACGAGCTAATAGCTTCAACTGGATGAAGAGATTTATAAACATGGCATGTATAGCTAATAAGTTACCATCTTATATTTACAAAATAAAGGATATTAATATCTAATTAATGCAATTAATCTGTAACTTGCTTATAAACCAGGAAATAAAAATGTACTGAAAATATATTAATAAATTATCTCTTTGCATCCTATTATCTTTAGTTATTTAGGCACAGATTCAGCAAAGCACATAGGCTCAATTAACTTAGAAACAGAAATCAGAAACAACTTAGTCATAGGCCATAAAAGAGAACACAAAAATGATAGTTAAAAAATCCTTAAAATGCAATGTTTCACATACATGCCAGGCATTAAACCTGATTTTCAAAACAAATTATACGTTGGTTAAGTGACTGTCAGCTTGAAGAATTATAATGTCTAAACAAATAAAAATAAAGCAGAGAAAACAAGAAGTAGCTATTGAGGCTATAAAGAGAGAAAAACAGATGCAGCTATAAGCTATCTGAAGTGCAGAAGAGCATAAGCAACAAGCCTAGAAAAAAAAGCTACCAAAGCAAAAGTATAACTGTAGCTCCAAAATCTTACAGACTAATCCCAGAAACGCCTTAGTCAGGTGAGAAGTGTCAACTGGATTTATTGCTTGAGGAAACTGTTTTTTTGACTAAGTGTTTTATGTGACCAGACTTTTTGTATAGCATCATATATGCAAAAAAGCTGTAGCCCTGAAATATTTCTAAGCACCACAACAATGTGCTGTGTAAATGTAACTTAAATGTTTCATGTTTGTATTTGAATTACCTCAGTTAAAACAAAAAACAGAAGGGTAAAAAATCATTTTACAAAAGAGATATTACCTTGGAAGATCTGGTGTCATCTACAACTAAAAACCCCCCCAAAATAGAAAAGTACTTACTCAGTTACTTTCTTCAAGATATTTCGAAGAATATTTAATGAATTTCCAGGCCTGTGAGAAATAAATTCAGAGAGAATTACATGTATAGGCCAAGCTTATCGAAATAACTACGTGTTTTGTGCATGCAATCTGAGACTGAAGGGACCTGCTTTTCAGAGGGATATTCTGACAAGCTAGTTTAAGCAACCTTATGCAATCTGTAGCCAACATGGAAAGGCATGGGAATCTCCCTAAACACAAAAATAAGGCTACTTTAGGTATGTGTGCTCTCAAGCCTGGTCTATGAAACAAGGACATAGACTGTCAAGAAGACTGACAGACTGCTTGCCTCTGAAAGGACAGGCGATTGCTTGCAGTCACTGGAAAGATCAGGTCACAAAGGAGATGATCAGATAAAACACTACTAATAAAGAGATGGTTGCCGATACAGCAGTGAGGAAGAAATACCAGTTGTTTGGACACATCTACCAGCTAAAGAATGACTATCTGCTAAAAGACAGCATTCTTCACTCTTGTGGTGGGCAGCAGACCAAAAGGCAGACACCAAGGAAGTGGCCAGAAAACATATGAGAATGGTGTGGCAAGATCTAAAGACATTGTTTGCTGCCGTGCAAGTCAGAACTCAGTGTGGAGTCAAATTACCTGAATGGCTCCTATAATTTTTAGCTTGTGGGACAGAGAAAAGAGGACAGTTTGACAGTATCAGGCCCCTTCAGAGGTGTCTCAAGTTGTACATCCCCCAAATCAGCTTTATTACTGAAAACCTTGTCAGTCATATGAAGTTTGACTTTATTCAAACTAAAGCTTGAAACTCTATGCGAGTTTTGCTACCTAGAAATTAAGACTTACTATAAGAAACAACTAGTAAAGCGTTAACTGATTTTTAAACATGAATTCAAGACAGCTTCCAAAGCTTTACCAATAAAGAAAATGTACTCACTTAAATGATGCCAACTTTTCTTTTAAATGTTGTGGAGAAATCTCACCCAGCGTAATAAGTTTTGATGTAAAGGCATCAATATGCCCTGAAAAACATCAAAACAGCAAAGAAACAACAAAAGGGAATAAACTGGTCAGAAAACGACTGTTAAATAAGTGCTGATACAATGTAATTTAGAGAAAAGCTTTAAGAGTTTTGTCATCAAGAAATCAGTAAGCAAAAACAATTCTAAGTTTAAATGTACTCTGCATAGGGACTGAAAACAAGGCAACTGAATGCACATAATTATTTAAGTGTATACACATTTGCTCTCCCAGGGGAAACTGTCCAAGGAGCAATTTAACCCTGGTTAAATTTCCAGCTTATTTTTCTCTTGGAGCAAACACCATTTTTGCTCTGGGATAAAAATCCTGAATATCTTTATTCTCCTAGGAAAGCAGGGACTCTTCTAGGAGCAAGTGAATGCCTGTACATGGCCACTGTTTCCTCAAATCCATGCTTCCAAGACATACTAGATCGAGACACGCAATTATTTTGGGCGAAGGGTTGCTTAATGAGTTTTGGCAAGCTGTTGAGGGCTGCAAGGGTAGCCCACCTCTTGACAGGTGCCCCGCCTCAGTCGCCATCTTGGGTCTTGAAATCCCACCCCCGAACCCCTGACCTTTGTCAACGGAAATCCCTCCCACTGCCTCCAGAAGTACTTCTTTTGGGAAGGGGGTTTGCCATCTTGTAACCAGAAAAAAACCCAAATTATATACTAAAAATCAAATGCTGAGAATAGTGTATTTTAACTTTATTAAAAAAATATTTTTGCCCCAATTTGTGTGTCCCGGGAGTCAAAATAACAGGCAGCACTTACCAGCAGCTCGGGACAGGATGTGCACGGGGCGGAAGGAGGAACCTACACGGCTCGTTAGCAGCCTTTTTGTGCAATTACGGCAACTGGCTGATGACGTCAGCGTTGGACGCCGGCCGTGGAAATAAGAACGGCGGCCGCTGCCGCGGAGGGGGCGGACAGCATGGGTGAGGAGCTGCAGCTGCCGCCGGTGATGGAAGGAACCTTCGCCATAGGATCCACGGAGCCGGGAAAGCCGGCAAGGATGCAGACGGCACGAGGCAAAACGTCCTAATAGGAGCCCGCACCGGACAACATGGGAGCAGCAGGCACGGTAACCGAATACACGGCTGGAGTGGCATCTGGGAGGAACGCAACCCACAGGTGGGGTGCTGGGACAACAGGGCATGGAGAAAGCTGCGCCAGGGAGGGAAGACCCCAGGAGAGCCCTGCAGGGGTGCAGTCAGGGCGGGCATCACCGCCAGTCCCAGACGGAGTGATGGGCAGAAGAGAAGAACGCTGGAGGTGACTGGTCCGGGATAGAAACCCCAGGCAGTGTTCGGGGTAGGCTAGTAAGAGGGTAGGGAGTGACCTGGTATTCTGTATTTCATTGGTCCATTTATTTAGTCACCCCAGACAAAGGGGCAGAGAGAAAAGGGCGTGTACTCCGGGGACTGAGGCTAAAGAGAAGCCTCTGAAAGTTTACTTTTCCTTTTGTATGCTTTCCCCTGAAGAAAGAAGTGAAGGTGAGGAGGGCAGATAGGCAGGCCCTTACGGCAGCTACAGTGGCTAGGGGCCGCGGGCACTTAAAGGCAAAGCCAGAAGGTGTTACCCCACAGTGGGGAACGAGGCCAACGGACAGTGACACACCAAAGGTGGTGTGAGGCCAGGGTGTAGGGGTGGTGGAGCCCTGTGAGTGATTGCTGGGTGAATCCTGGGCCACTGAGTATCCTGTCAACCGACCCCTCCTACTGAGGAGCAGCAAGCTGTGGCAGGCGAGAACAGGGTTGGTGACACGGGAAGAAGAGAGCTACTCCAGCACCAACACGATCCCGGGAGGTGTTTGACATCCACCCATAGAGCAAAGGCCACTCGAGAGTAGTTATTCGAAGTCCAGCAGTCACAGTGTGCGTTTTGTTGTGTATACAGAGGTGATTGCATAATATCTCGAAATGAATTCTTACTCTTCCATATTGTGGGGGGGG